GAGCGCCTATGAAGACGTCCAGGTCTGGCCTGTGGGCACGTTTTCAGAACCAGTTCTTCCACACCTGGACCCTGGATGATGACACTGTGCTCAAGCATCTTAGGGCCTCTATGAAGAAACTAACAAGGAAGCAAGGGGACCTGCCACCCCCAGGTGGGCTCCAGTGCCATGTCCCCTCCCATGTCACCCTCTGGGGCAGTCAATAGTGGGGGAGTGCCCGTGACCCACAACCCTACTACCTGGGCCTTCCTCTTCACCTTTTCCTCCTCCTCTTCCTCCTGAACTCTAGGAAAGTACAGGAGGCCCACCGGTCCTCACGGCAGGCGCTCAGTGCGTGTGTACTGGATGTGTTGTGCCTGCAGGAGGGCGATGTGGGCAAGACCTTCCAACAAGCCCCCTCCCACTTTCCACGGTGTCTCTGTCTCCCCATCACAAGGCCGTCAAGGGCACTGGAAGAGCCAGACCCATTTGTGGGAGACTCCACCCCTCGCTGCAAGCACCCACAGCCTCAGAGAGCAGCAGAGGCCCCTCACTACTGCACGCTCCTCCAAGGTTGCCAGGACAAAAAGCCTTGAGCCAGGGAGGCAAGGGAATCGGGTGTCCCTGACCCCAAGAGCATTCAGTGAGAGGGCATAGGCGGGACTCCAGGCCCAGAGCCAGAGTCAAGAGTTCAGACAGATGTGGGAACAGTCAGTCCTGGCATGGACTGGGCAGCCCGGGAGGGCAGAGGGTGACCCATGTCCAGGTCCAATCACCCACTGTGGACATGGGTCCCCATGTGAGGTGGCAAGGGGCTGGGTGACATCCAAGGCCCCTCCCACCTGAATTTGAACTGGGGACTGTATCCCTGGCCCAATAGCCCTGGGATGAGGGTGAGTGGCAGGAAGCCTCCAGCCAGTCTGAACCCTGGCAGGCAGTCCCAGGAGCCACCTGCCATGTCCCGACAGCTTCCCTATGCCAGGCGGCACACACCCCTCCCTCTGGCATCAGCAGACTACAGGTGTGTCCTCATTGTCAGACCACGGGGGCCACACAGAGACCCCGAGGACTCCAGAGACGCAGGCAGGTGGGGCCCAGCCCGGAAAGGCCTGCCTGGGCTCACTAGGGACGCTGACCATGTCTGTTTTCCTTTCAGCCAAACCCGAGCAAGGGTCCTCAGCACCCAGACCTGCGCCGGCTTCACATGGCAAGAAGGCCCTCTGCAAGGGGGACAGGCAGACCCTTCCTGGCCCACCGGCCCAGTTCCAGTGGCTCATTTTGTTAGCTTCCCTGCCACAGGCACCTGGTTCTTTCACATCCTGTCTTATTGAGGCTGTCCGGGAAGATACTTATCCTGTGGGCACTCAGGATGTGCCCAGCCCAGCCCCGGCTCAGGGAGGACCTCAGGGTTCCTGGAGATTCCTGCAGTAGAATTCGATGCCCCGGCTCCCGACGGACCTGGATGTGGGGGACCCTTGGTTCCCCCATTATGATTTCGAACAGAGCTGCTGGGTCCGTGTCCCTTCTGAATGTGTCCTGGACAGCCCCGGGACTGTGGGGCAGGGTTAGCCCGGGAAGCCCATGGGGACCCTGACACCAGGCCCTGCCCAGGCCCATCAGGACTGAGGGAGGTCAGGAGACATCCCACTGCAACAGGGCACCCCGTCTACAGACAAGAGACTTGCACCCAATTTCTACAATGGCACCGTATCCCAGGTAGACCAGCTGGCCACCTGCTGGCAGGCGGAACACCCTGCGGAGGGGGTGAGATTGGCTTTCACTGCACTGAGCCACAGTGTGGACATGGACTTCCAGCCCTGCACTGCACCCAGCACTGATTCCGACCAGGACACCCCCTTCACAGCTAAGGATGAGCAGCAGTGCACTCCCACCTCAGGGCTTTGTCTCTGCCACCTTGGAAAGTTCTCAGTTCCCTCCAGGCTTCTAGAAGCATCTGGGCCAGGGCTCGTGGCTGGATAATTTCCCAAGGCTTAACACCCCAACCAAACTTCACGTATTTGCTTTATTTTTTGTTAAACTTACAAAAACTTATTAATAAAGTGCACAGCATGGAAGACATTCACAGATGGAACACACCAGCCCCCAGATCACAAAGTCAACCATGCCCAGCCCCTCCCAGCACCCCCAGCCCTGCGACCAGTGTTCTGAATTCTGACGACACCGTGAGCCTGCCTTTGTACTTTAAACTCATGGAAGGTTAACCACATTCATGTTTTAAATAAATGTTTCCTGTTGAAAAGATTTAAGATATACAGAAAGATTGAAAAGGCACCATAGTGTCCTCCTACACCTTCCATCTGGCTGCCCCAATAATGACGTTTTATAGTCCCATGGCACATCATAAATTTAGGCCGGGTGTGGTGGCTCACACCTGTAATCCCAGCAATTTGAGAGGTCGAGGCGGGAGGTTCAGGTTCACTTGAGTCTAAAAGTCTGAGCACAGGTGGACCCTGCCTCTAGAGAAAAGTCAAAGAAATTCGCCAGGCATGGTGGCGTGTGCCTATAGTCCCACCTAGTCAGGAGCCCCAGATAATAGTTAATGGCAGAACCACTGTCAAACTCCAAAGACGGTGGTCTAAACTAGTACACATGACTGTCAGGCTACATCCACATTCTTAGAAAACAATTTAGACTCATCTCTGGGTGCAGATAAATGAGCTTTCGAGGTCAGAGAATTCTGCTTCATCTAGTGTGGCACTCATAGTCACGATTTTATTAGTGTAAAATAACTGCTTTGAGCAAAGCAACTCACTCTAGAGGCTTCTGAGTGCTCAATCAGATTAAAAATAGGTGCCATCCACCCAAAACTGTTACTTTGGATTTCAGTGAGTTGAGGAACAGCATGTGGCCCTTATTGCTGGCTGTTGACTAAGGCTATTTTGAGCTTGTGAAAAGAAGCCTGATCCAAGTATAGCACAGTGGCTGAGAGTGAGGACCCTGGAGTGGGACAGGTCTGGTTTGCATCTGCTCCACTACTTGCTAGCTGTGTGACCTTGGGAAAATTAACTGCCCTTTCAGGGCCTCACTTCTCTTTTCTGTAAAGTGAGGATTATAATTCCTACTTCAATGTTGGACAGACCAAATTACAATCTATGTACACGTACATACTCCTGGCACAGAGCCCTCAACACTGGCAGCTACTATGTTTGTGGATTTCTGTGAAAGGGGATGCGTGTCTTTCTATTCCCTAGAGCGGGGCACCTACAGACAGCTCATACAAAGTGTATCACTTCATTAGGAAATATTTCCAGATAAAGAAAACTCAGAACCTGCCCCTATTTTATTCTGCTGGATGTTGTAAACCATGAAGAGACTCCAAGGCTGAAGCTGGTATTACTGTCACTTCCACAGCTCTATGTGGGCTCGTGATTCCCATATGGAGGTCAGGAAGCTTCGTATGTGACCAGTTCTGCCTCAAGAGTCATTAGCCAGGGAGGGTCAACAAAATCACAATCTTATGTAATTTCCTCATGAGGTGACAAAGAGCATCGCGATTGTCTACAGGGGACTGTCACCACCCAAACGGCTCCTGCTCCCAGTGAAAGCCTTTACAACATGAGACGGTCATTATCAGCAATGGCTTGTGAGTACTCAGCTCTTCCAAATATCAGCTCCGCTGCTCCCCATGCTCGGAAACTAGAGCATGAAACCAAGGCCTGGGTAGCTGGGAGCGGCCTGCGAGAGACAGCTGGACACCACGACAAGCATGCGACCTTCCACCTACACCTCTTCAGCTTGTACCAGACCTAGGCAGTGTAGCAGGTCAGCCTAAGAATCTGAGCTCAGGACCCAGATCACCTGGACTCAGATCCTGACTCCAGCTTAGTAGCTGTGGGACCGAGGACACGTTATTTAACCCCAACGTCATGTTGCTGGGGGAAGTTTCCTCTGATGACAACACAGATGGGCAGAGATGAGCCGAGATTTACGTCTTCCCTCCCAGCATGTGCGTCCTGGCTCATGACACAGGTATTTGGAAGCTTAAGCCCCAACAGGAAGCTGACTTTTCTGGATTCTACGGACCTGTGTTTAGCATTAAGTATTTTCAAGCAAGCTCTCTAAGCCAAGGGAAACAGCTTCCTCCACCTAATAATTAAGACTACTAGAGAATGGTGGCCACTTTGAATGACAGAGAAATGGGACAGGGAGAAAGGAACTGGCATATACTGGGCACTTCTCTGTACCAGATTTTACCCCCCACCCCATCTCCTATCTCCACCTCCTTTAAAGATCAAAAACATTATCAAATGTTGTCTTCATTTCACACATGAAGAGACAGTAGTTTGCCCAGGTTTACACAACTTAGTTCCCCAAGTCTTTCTGATTTCAAATCCCAACCTCTCTCCTTCACATGACACTGTTTATGACTTTTCCTCACACACTCTCCTTTACCTGATTTTAGATCCAAATATTAATATTACAGGGCTCAGGTCTTGGCCTAGGAACAAGGACTGGCATCCTCTTTTCTTCTTCCCCCAATCTTCACAGAACTATCTAGAATTCCTCATTCAGTCACACTATCTGAAATGTTAACAAGTAGAGACTTCCTAGGATAAAAAGCCTCCTGTCATGTTCAGATGTAGGGAAAATCCCATATTTGATTATAATAACATTTTACTTCCTCTTTCCAACTTGAAAAATCTTAAGTCTTCTTGTATTATAGGTTTTCAGAAATGTGGATCCCTCTTTTGTATCTAAGTTTTTATTTCTCCTTTTGCAAAAGCTGCTCCAAATACCAGCTGTGTTGCTCCGCAGGCTCTGAATGTTCAGAAGAACATTCTCGTTACGAGGATGACTCCATGGAATGCTTGACCACTAAGTTTGGTGAACAGCTGCTCAGTCTTTTTCACTTTAGCCGCAGCTGGGGAGGCAAGCCTCTATATGAGTGGCAGAGGCTGGCTGGCT